GAGAACAAGGCAAGTGAATATTGCTGATATTTTAAAAACAAGATGAAAAACTTGGGTTTTTCACCTTTATTGTTGAAAAGAACTATATACAAAACTGCAGTAAATCATAAAATACTAAAATTAAGATTTCTCTGAGTTAAGCAAATAAATCAGGGAATTTATTAAGTAATATTGTGTGTTACCATTTGCTGTCTCCATTTTGGAGTGGTGGTTAGGTTATACTGGTGTTTACTGTTAGTACAGATTGTCTAAGAAAGTATGAAAACTAAATTTATTTATGGGGCATGTGTGTTTTATGCAGCACATGTGTTTAGGTACCTGTCCATCTCATTTCCTAGAATAGGAGTTATATGCAGTTGTAAACCACCTGATGTGCTGGGACCTAACTCTGATCATTGAAGGGTCAACAAACACTTTTATTTTACTTGAGCTCTCTCTCCAGCACCTAGAATTAATGTAAGTCATTACATTATCATCATCTTCATATTACAACTTTTCTTGTTTTCTGTTATCTAGAGAAGAGATTTAAGCATAAATTTATTCTCTGTTTGAAAAAAACTTTGCTAAGGGCTCAGAAATTTTGAGAACAGAATTTAATCAACTTGATGTAGATAGCTGTTTATTTTAATTGATCTCATTGCCTGTCTTGACTCATTCTTTCAAAATACGTACACTTTCTCTTTTTTTTTTTTTAGAATATAACCAATCAGTCTGAATCTTGGGTTTACACAGTTGGGGTTAATAAGTATTATGTGTCTAAAATGTTATGCATATGATGCCTGAATATGACTTATCTGGTTTTAATGAAGGAATGCTATTATTAGTCTCAGAAACTTGGAACTTTGCTCAGTTTTGAGTATTGATTTATATACATCTCAATTCTGATAGACTAGACAGAACAGATAAATGGCAAATGTTTCAAGGCAACAGCCAGAAAGAACTTTACAGGGGTTCGGTAGAGGAGAGCAGGGAGTGCTACATGGTTATTGGCTGTGAAATAATTTCTGTCCTGCAGAAGCTGAGCTTTTGCCATTCTTCAGTAATACCTCAGAGCGAAGCACATATTAGAAGCAGAAGGATGGATATACATTGTAAGGTTTATTTTTAAAGGTTATCGTGTGTGTGTGTGGTGTGTGTGGGGCCGCACGCATTTGAGCATATATGTGCAGGTACCTGCTGAGTGGTGGGGTGAGTGTGTGTGTGTGGTGTGTGTGTGTGGTGTGTGTGGTGTGTGTGTGTGTGGCGCACGCATTTGAGCATATATGTGCAGGTACCTGCTGAGTGGTGGGGTGAGTGTGTGTGGGTGTGTAGGTCTGTACTGAGGCCAGAGGTGTCAGATCCTGAAACTGGCCTTGGAACTCAGTGTGAGGTCCTCTGGATGAGTGATCCACACTCTTAACTGCTGAGTCATCTCTCTAACCCTAGTCAGTTTTCAAGTTGTGCTCAAATATGCCTTTTTCTGAAGTTGCCCTGGAAACTTCAGAGTTGTGTTTATGTGGTTTCCTGAAATCCCTGGAATTTTAAGAGTTGAAGATGAGTTGTGAGCTTGTTCTTGTGCTGGGGAATCTTTTTCTCAGTCCTAATTGAGGTCATTTCCATCTTAACAAACAGCATATATTCCATTAATTAGAAATGCATTTCTTTGAACTCTTTATCTGACATCTTTAAAAGAGTTAAATTTGGGAAGATTAAATAGGCAGGTTGTGAGAAGATGGATTTGTTCCTTTTTTCTTTTTAAGGTTTATTTAATTTAATATGTGTTTGCTTGTGTGGTGACACTAGGCATGTTTGTGCGGGTGCTGGCAGAAGCCAGGAGGTAGCCTTGGCTTCCCTGAGGTTGGAGTTACTGGTTATTGTGAACTGCCTGATATGGGTGCTGGGAGCCAAACTGAGGGCTCTGCAAGAGCCATCACTATGTACTCGTCACTTCTAAACCATCTCTAGTCCCTGAAGATGGATTTTCTTTTCAAAACCTGTAAAATATAGAGGATCTTAAGAACTGAGGTTCTTATGAAAATCAGAATAAAAATCAAGAAAAAGAAGTGAAATGAAAACCTCCTTTTCACCTAGTGATTGTAAAAGTGGCAGTTTGGCTGGCTCTGATGAACTTTAATTTGCAGTTTGATGACAATTTGTGTTAACTTGGTATAGACAGATAGGGAAGTAGTGCTGCCAGATTTATTTCCGATTCAGCACACTTCTATATAGGTGCTACTTAGGGAAATTAAATGCTACCTTGTTAGGACAGGTTCAGTGGTTAACCTTCATAATACTGAATAATATGCCACACACAATACTGCACTATTTTCACTATTCTGATTTTCCTACACACTTGCACCCTCTGACATGATAGACATTTTGTTAGCCTGCTCTCTTGTCCCGCTCCTGCCCAGCAGAATGTAAGCTCTATAAGGAAAACTGGCCTAAAGTTTCATTCTGTTCTTTGTTTTCTCTCAGTAGCTTGAACAATGCTCAGCATGTTCAGATACAGTGTTTTCATATAAGCATAGTGTATATAATGTAAATTGACAAAATTTAAGACTATTGTTAATAAAGGGAATTTTGTTGTGAATTAGCCCATTGCACTTTAAAAAGTGTAAGTCCAGTAGCTGCTTGAGTTATGATTAAAAAATATTACTATGCTCATGACAGGGTAGTAATGATGGCTATTGGAGGATGACTTTTTGGAATAAGTTTTTTTGTTTGGTTTGGTTTGTTTCTACCTTTGAGGGGGGCTTCCAGGGATCAGACTCAGGTTGTCAGGCTTGCATGGCAAGCACCTTTACCTGCTTTGCCTCTGCCCCAGGGGCTAATTTTTATATTCTTATTTGTTTAGGATCCCACACATTGTTTATGATAGGTTATTCTGTGTCTGGATACGACAGTTGGATTAATGAAAAAACTGAAGATTCTACACATGTTGCTATACAGTCTGTTCTTCTCATACTAGAGGACATAAGCGTAGACAAAAGGTTTTAAAGTGTGACATGACTGATCCTACTTCAAATGTCACCTCAGTCCAATTGGAAAATTGCTGTTGTGTGGTGCCTTGAAGGTGGAAACCAGGAGAAGAATGTCTGTAATAGTTGAACCTTCTCAACTGCTATAGTAATTCTTACCACCACTGTTTTCTTATGGAAGACACTATTTGTGCTGTTGACCATTTGGTTGTTATCTGTTTAAGCTAAATGTTGACAGTTTAAGGCTGATCCCTACCCTGAATAAGGTTCAGTAGCCACCTGAATGAACTGGTAACAAATACTAGCAGTTTAGTTGGGGGCTTGTAGCCACTGGAAAAAATCATACATAGCTTTCAATGAGAAAGAAGATTATCTAGTTGGAGTGGGGAAGTAAAAAAAAAATCATAGCCCTGTTTTTTACTTAAATTTTCTGTTCTTTTATTATAATTTAATAATGAATCTTATTTTCTGAACCAAAGTCCCATAAAGAAGCTTATCCCTTAATTTTTTTTAAAGTAGTAAGGTGTGTTGTAAAATAGAAACAAAAAGTGTGACCCTTTGAGCTGATGGTAAAATATAATTATGTGTGAATGGCAACATAGCTGTAAAAATATGTGTGGCTTGGAATTGTCTTTTTAAATGACTGTGTATTTTATCTGCAAATTTTCATGAGTGATAATAACAAGGTTGTTTCAAGTTTTCCCCACATTTGTAAATACAGAACAGTCAGCCAAAATAGGTAATTACATATAAAAAAGTGAAATTTGAGAAAATGTCAATGGGTGTCTCCAATCACTATTGAAATACACTTTTGGTCCATGGCTCAGAAATGTTATTGATGAGTTTTTTATTCTTAAAATTGTACAAACACTCTTGAATCCCTAGAAGTAAAAAATCCTCAACTAGTTCTGATAGTAAGGTGTGTAAAAAGAATACAGATGATGAGACTTGTCATCCTCTAAGAGTTCTGTAGGTAACACTTCCAGCTGAGTGTTTAATTCCCCACACTCTTCCCATGGATGCACCTTCATATCTCTTGTTTTCCTTTGTTTTGTAAACAGAAATGGGATTCCCTTCAATTTAATGTCATTGTGTTAGACAGGTTTCTTTTGACTGCAGTAATTCTTTTCATAATCCTCCTAAAGATGGTTATATGGTATTAAAAAACATATTCTACATCAAATACCTTTGAACTGCATTTTTGTAAACTAAATATTGAGTTTCATACTGGCTCAAATTCCACTTTGGATGATATTATGGTTATCATGGCAGTTATTTTTCCCAGTGCCTGGAGCTTTATGACTGTTTTAAATAACCATGTTGTCAAGTCTTTAGTTTGTGTTTTGTGAATACTGGTATTTCTAACTTTTTATATTTTGGAAGAAACATTTTATCTTCAATTTAAACTATTATGAATAATGATGTGTTAAATATCGAGTACATTTTGATAGTATATAATGATTATGAGTGTCAGTTTTGATTCTTAGTTTTAGAGTTGTTTGGTAAAGCATTGAGATTTCTCTGTTATGTGAGGGATGAGTATAGATACCACTCATCGTAAATTCATTTTTGTCTGGTAATATGTAGGCATTGAGCTAGAAGAGGGATACACCAGAACTATTCCCTTCACACACACACACACACACACACACACACACACACACACACACACACACACACACGTACGCTAGAAAGGACTGCTTACCCGATTATCTGAAAATTTACTAATCTGCATGTAACTACTGCCACTAGGAGCTCTTCACAAATACACAAACTCTTGGCAAAACTACTTAGCAAATGTACTAGAGTTCGTCAGGTATATAAAAAGGTATTTGCTTCTATGTTGCACTCTGCCATGGGTAAGGAATGTAGCACCACAACTTTCTCAGTGTTTGGAGTCTCTGATTAGGCTCTGGCCTTAATCTTACCTTTTTACCTCCATAGCCTACTCCATGGGCTTTTGAAAGTTGGGTTCATTTGCCTTGTTACATTTGTGTACTAGGGAGTGGCTGACAGTTGCTCTGCTTCTTGCTCTGACAGGAGGAAATGCCTAGAGGAGGGATGTGAAGCCAATATCTCAGACCTGACGCTCGCTCCTGCTTTCTACCCTCTTTCTGAACCTGGCTGGTGCAGCTTGAGAAATCAGCTTTGCTGACACCTCTGCCCTCCTCGTTAGTAAGGAAGAGGCATGAGAGGGACCATCCCTATTTCCTGTTAGGAAGAAACACCCGAAGGAAGACTTTGAATTTCTTCATTGTTTGTTTTTTAAAGGTACTAGGGTTTATAGCTCAGCAGATTTGAACAAGTTGAGTAAAGATCAGCTATATTGTTTTAACTAGATTTCTAAGTGCATTTACTAACCTAACCATCACATAGACCTATTTATAATTTGAAGTTTGCCTTTAAAGTCACGCAAGTACAAGGCACTGTAGTGCTGGTAACGCTCTTCCATATTATTGTAGGTAACTAAATGACCATGGAATCTGGAGCAGACAACCAGCAGAGTGGAGATGCTGCTGTAACAGAAGCTGAAAATCAACAAATGACAGCTCAAGCCCAACCACAGATTGCCACATTAGCCCAGGTATAAAATACATGGAGAGATTTCAGTCTGTGTCTCTTCCAAGAGAATTTAATTTTTAATGGAAATATACATAGAATGATGAAATTTTTCTTAAGACTATGAGAATTCAAATTCACTGTTAGTATTAGTTTATGTTTAGAAATGATAGTAATGATTAATTAACAGTAAAATACATCATTAAACATTAGTATAGTGTGTGTAGTGACATGATCCAGAAATAATTACTTTTTACTAACGTAAATTAACTGGCCCTCTCAAGGCAATGAAACATTGATTATGACAGCTGCCTTTTTTTTATGTTTTACTACCACACAGACTTATTTTGGAAGTACAGATATACTCTAAAACTAAAAAGCAGATTAAGCAAATAAACTGGTGTGTGAATAAGTCCTAAGAATGAAAGCAGTTTTTCTCCCCTATATATCTTAAGTACATTTAGTCTGATTGTGTTTTAAGCATCCTGTCCTTAAGGCCATTCATCATCTCTGTACTTGTTTTGCTCTTATCTGTTTTTCCCTTATTAACATTTTTAATCTCAGTATTAGTAAAAACAGTGCTTAATATAGAAACCAAATACATCTAAACCTGTAGGGTAAGACTGTGATATTTCCTTTCCCCATTTTTGAAGAAAAAATGTCTCTGTGTAGCGCTGGCTGGTCTCAAACTCAGAGATCCACCTTCCTCTGCCTCCACAGTGCTAGGATTTAAAATGTGCATGACCACACCTGGCTGCTTCCTCTCCAAAGTGAAGGCTCCCAAGAAAAATAATCCTGCCAGAGGCTTTGCTTTGCCTAGCTCAGTTTCTCCAAGAGTTAAGAATCTACCATGGAAATGGCTGATCAGAATAAGTCTTGGGAAATACAGGGCTCACCACAGCTGGGATGAGGGTAGAAGTGAGTCAGATACCGGGGCTCCTGCAGGAATAGTCAGAAAGAGTAGGCAGGCTGCCTGCGTTTTCTTGTAAGGGAACGGGGTTTCCCCTGCAGATCTCAAGAGTAAGACAAAGCCGGATATACTTGGAGATAAGTTAATATATCAGATGAGGCAGCACTTTGTCATTACAAACAGAGAAATGGAGGTTCATCTGAGCATTTAGCTGAGCAGGCTCCTTGAGGACAGCCTTCAACATTGTTCTGTCCTGGCATTATTCTTCTGGTCTGTTTGTTCCATCAGTTGACTATATAGTCACCTTGGAAATTCTTTCTGCTCTCATGACTTTTTCTTAGGGAATTCTTGATAAGATAGAGCATTTAGCTAACTGACTCTTGAAAAGAAGAGATTAACTGGAATAAGAACTCTTGGTAAGAAGACTTTTTCTTTGGAAATTTTCTGTTGTTATCTATGGTCCACTTAGTGTTGTTTACAAAATGTGAGGGGATTAAATTCCTTTCTTATATCTAGTATATTATAAAATGCCTTAGGTCTCAACTTACAGTGCATACTAATAATTTGGTTCATTTCTATTCTCTGTATCCAGTGGTCCTTTTATAGTGGGAATTCACATCCTCAGTTTGGGGAAATCTCTTTCAATTAGTTGGTGGTGATTTTGTTTTTCATGTCTTTTAGGATCCTTGTGATCCAGATGTTATACTTCTGGGACTTGTTTGTTTCTTCATTTTCCTTGCTGTTTTCAGCCTTTTTGCTCTACTTGTTGGGAGATTCTTCTATACACTTTATCCTGCCTGTGAAATTTTATTTTGCTATCATACTTCCTAGAGTTCTGTTTGTTCCCTGGGTGGTCCTTTGGTACCTTCTGAGTATCCCATTTCATAAGGCAGTGTCTTCTTCTATCCCCAGGGAAAGACTAGAGGCTTTCACCAAATTCTTAACACTCTGGATGTCTGCTCAGGATTAAAGTGAGGAGAGACTAGAAGATAGGATTGTAGCTTAATGGTAGAGCATATACTTAGCACACGAAAGCCCTGGGCTCATGCCCCAACATGAAATAGGTAGGTATAGATAGATAGGTATACATGACTAAGAAGCTACTTTGGAAGCTTCGTGGGTATGGTTGGAGTTCAACAGCTTCCAACCATGAACTTAACTGTAAGGTAATGGTGGTCTTAACTGTTAGTGTCTTGGACCTTCTCCTTGAGTTTGACAGGGTCCTCAGAGGTTTCACTCATCATGTTTATATGGAAAGGGCCTGGGAGCCAAGGGAGAGAAGAGAGCTGGGATTTAATACTGCCTCAGTCGACCTGGTGTTACGTGGTTCTGTAGTAGTTCTATACTGTTCTCTTATAGTGGGCCAGACTTTTCTTCTACAAGAAAGGATTCATTTGTTCCTAAAGAGGTTCCAACCACCCTTTTGTTTACTTGCAGCCCATCTCTTCATGCCACCTTTTACAGTATTGAAGATACCACACATCTAGATTTTTGTGGTACAAAGCAGGCTTTCCCTTCCTCCATGAATTGGCCATCTGTGGTTTTGGGGTGGTTTTTTGTTTGTTTGTTATTATTGATCCATCCGCTCTCTAGCCAACAAAACTCTGTTGCCTCCTTTCCTAGTTTCCACACTTATATGATTTTATATATGTATATATGTATATATATAATGTATACATTATAAAAGTGAAATCAATTTTGTGAGATATAATTCGGAACTCAGAAGGGAACATGTTCTGTTTATCATCAGACAACCCTCCAGCACTGAAAATTTAGAATGTGTAGTTGAACTTGAACTTGAAGAAAGCTTATCTTTTCTTTTTCCTTCTTGTCTAGTTACTTTTTGTTTGTTTGTTTGTTTGTTTTTTGTTTTTTTTGGGGGGGGTTGTGGCTTATCCAAGTCCTTAACAAACACTCCACACTTTTAAAAAATAATCTTTTTTTGACAGCTTGAGGCATTCATATAATGTATTTGGGTAACATTCATGACCTCTTTACCCTTTCCCTCCCACAAAACCCCTTCCTTCTTTCTAAGACCCCATCTACTCTGATGTCTTTTTGTTGTTATTGTTGTGACCCACAGAGTTTAATTATGGCTGCTTACATGAATGTTGAGTGTGGAGTTACTTACTGAAGTGTGGATAACTTGCAAGTGCCTATACTACTAAAGAAATGTCTGTTGCTCTTCCAGCAGCCATTAAACTGCTAATAGTTCCTCAGGGAACTTATGAAGCCCTAACCCCCATTCTGTCCATAACAGAATGGTACAAGCTCCATCTAGGCAGGTAATCAGAACTGTTTTGAGTTTGTTAGTGTAGCAGCAATGTCATGTCCACTGCAAAGAGTTTCACAGCGTTCCTTCCCATCCTTTGACTCTTGCATTCTCTACCCTTTCTCTTTTACTGTGCTCCAGGGAAGTGTATATCATGGATTTTAACATAACTTCCTGCTAATTCTGACTCCAGATAACTTTTTACTGCCAGATTTTCAAAACTAGAAAAACATTGTAAAGCTAAGGCAAGATGATTGTGATTTTGTCAATGAATAGGAGGACAAGAAAACAAAGTGAATCCAAGTAGTAAAGGAAGTTAGATTATCAACAAAAGTACATCTGACTTTAGAATTTAAGGTCTAAAGACGCCTCTGGTTTTGATCGTGAGAATGTATAGTTTTAGTTTATTAAGACAGTTCATCACTGTGTCCTTAGTTAGGCTGGCCTCACACTTGGAGCCGTTCTGCCTTCCCCTCCTCAATCCTAGGTTTACAGACACTCACCTTCACACTCAGATGAGAATGTAAAATTGTAATAAATCTAAGTAAAAAGTAATAACAGGACTTTATTAAACATTCTATAATATATCCTTTATATAGCCGTATTTTTAGTAAAACTATGCAGAGATATTTATAATAGATTTTAAAACTGTAAAACAGGTTTCATGATGTCATAAAAATTGAATACATCTGTGTGTCTCACTTGGGACCAGACCACATGTTTCCCAAGATAGCTGTGAATGTGACCCAACACATTTGTACCTGGCAACATCACTATGTCAGAAGATAGGACACCTGTAATAGGAACGTGCCTCAGTATAGAGTACTGGCCTAGCAGGCTTAGCAATTACACGGCCCTGAGTTTAACCCCTGGCACTGAGTAAAAAGAGCCGTCGTGGTTCTGGTAGTAGGAATATATGGAATTTTTAGCCAGGCTTTGTAGGACAAGCCTGTAGTAACTGCTGCTTGGGAATCTGAGGCAAGAGAACCACAAGTTCAAGGTCAACTTCAGTAATCAAGTGAGACCCTGTCTTAAAAGTGAAAAAAAAGGAGGACTAGAGATACTCTGTGCTAGAATCTGCTTCTCACCCACGTACACAGGAAGGGGGTAAGGCTATTTAGTACTTTATGTTAGACTTACATGCCTATGGAAGCTTCTAAGTAGGGTAGAAATCACTGGGTTAGCTTGTTAATGTTCACCTTTAAAGGATGCATGGAAGAAGACACTGCGCTGTAATTCAAATATTCAAACAGCTTTCCTATGGAATTAAGCTCATAGCAACTCTGTAACTGAACCTTTTAAACTTGAGTGGTCAGTATCCTTCCTTAGTTTCCTCTTAGATTATGATGTTATAAACAGGACAACCTATGTGACTCTGCAGATAATCCTGGTACCACATCTAGAGAACCAAGTAAGATTAAACAAAATTTAAGAGTGACCAGAGAGAATAGGACCAATAAAGAAAGGTTTTGTGGCCGGCTAAGAAAAGGAAGCTTCTACTTTTTAATCTGTGTGCTGAAGATAACTTGTTTTCGAAAGATCTTTTCCCCAGCTTCACTGAAGTACCCACTTCTTGCTGTATGTCTCTTCAAATCCACATTTCACTACAACCCTGGCTATCCCAAACCTGTCTCTCTTTCATTCTGTTTCAGTTGGCACATTTGCCACTTCTATCATCTTTAATTCCTCTTAGCTAGTCATTCAAAAAGCCCTTCCTTACCACCTCTTACTGCCCTGCTTCTGGCCTTTATTACCTTACCCTAACCACTATCTAGTCTTTCTCAGAGTCCCTCCACCTCCAGTTTTCGCCCTCTGAAGTGTTATGTCTTTTATTCATCCACTAAATCAATTGATCTAAAATGGAAACTTAACCATGTTATTTGATTTTTAAAAAAAGAAGAAAAAATCTTCAGCAATTCTTCCTATGTTCTCAGAATAGATGAAAGTCATTTTATATTATTTTTGAGACAAAGGCTCAAATGGTAGCTTAAGCTGACTTTGCTTAAACTTGTAGCAGTCCTCCTGCCTCAGTCTCTTTAGTATTGATATTATGAGATGCGATGCTGTAACTGATTAAAATGCAAGATTTTTGTTCGAGACACCATCTCACTGCATGTCTGGCTAGTCTAGAATTCACAGAGATCTACCTACATCTGCCTACTAAGTATCGGGTTTAAAGGCATGTGCCACGATGCCTGGCTTGAAAGCTTTTTTAAGGCAGCATGGAGAAGTTTTTATGATTAGACCATTGAAGCCTTTTGAACCTCTGTATCTCTGCTTCTGACATTGGGCAGTAGTGCACGCCTTTCCTCTAAAACACACACACACACACACACACACACACACACACACACACACACGAAAGGCATCTTAAAATTCCTCTGGTTCACCAGTTTAGTGATTTTTTTTCCCCCTGAATGGGAGGAACTGAAATTTTTAATTACAATTAATATACTTTCTTGTTAATGAAAAGACATGCTTGTAATTAGTCTAAAGTAGAATATTAAAATAAATATATTAGAATGTGTTGTTCTAAACTTAGTAAGTCCTGTTTACCCAAATTTGAAAAGTTAAGGTTTTAAAACATGGTTTATTTAACACCAGGGTATTCTGAAAACTTTATGCTTAAGGCAGGAATGCCTGTTGTTGACCTTGTGTGAATTAATCTCTTAGCATGTTTTTGTCTTTAAGTAAAAATAAACCTTATTACTCAGCCTTTAATTTAAAAAAGAAAAATCAGATATAAAAGCAGGCAGGAAAATGTAAAGCACCATATGAATCAAGTGTTCCTTAGCTTTCAGAGCATGACTGGGATTCGGGTGTAGATGCTACATGAGATAGCTGGCTTTTTTGCCACTTGGGTCAGGCTGAAAAGTAGAGGGGAGGAAGATTTGTGTAGGGTTTGAAATTTTCCTTAAAATATTAAATCATTGAAATATTGAAGTACTTATCAAGCAGGAAGGTCATAGTTTTGCTTTATTAGAAGTTATTTCATATTGAACCTGAGTAGTCTCACAGAGGCTTCTGTGATGGTAATTGCTTTCCATGTTTCTATAGGTATCCATGCCAGCAGCACATGCGACATCATCTGCTCCCACTGTAACCTTAGTGCAGCTGCCCAATGGGCAGACAGTCCAAGTCCATGGAGTTATTCAGGCAGCCCAGCCATCAGTTATTCAATCTCCACAAGTCCAAACAGTACAGGTATGTGTGTAAAAAGTTCTGCATATATTTAATAACTTATTTATAGCCATTTCTGTCTCTTTTTATTAGTTGTGGAAATAAGGACATATCTAGTTTAAATTTATTTTACTTCATAGTAAAGGAATATATTGTGTCTGTGTAGTTATGTTATATATGCAAGGACAGACCTAAAATACTATTTTTTTAAGCTACAGAAGAAAAAGCATTCATTTAGAGAGATAGTAAATACATGTGATAAATGGAAATGTTTAGGAAAGACTTGGAGGACTGATGTACCTCAATTAAGGAAAATGAACCTAAAATAAACCTACGTTTTTATGGGGGAAGACTTCATAAAGATTGGTAACCTTGCTTGAGATAGGATTTGTACTTAGAGATCACATCAGACATCCTATTGGTTGCTTAGAGCTTTTAGATAGAGTATATAACTTTGAAATAAAAATATATTCAGGAGGTACATCATAAGGATGCTGATTCTATCACATATGCTATCTGACTCTTTGGAGAGTCTGTTCCTTTGAGGTAAAAGGGAATAAAGGCATTCTAAACTTCTGAACGTGACTACTTAGTTCTAGGGACCCAAGAGCAGTAGCAGTATAATACTTTGCAATTCAGCTGATTGAAGAAAAAAACAAAGACTGAACATTCATGCAAGTAGGCCATAACCCCAGCCTCCCATTTCATATTTTTTACTTCACAGTCTTCCTGTAAGGACTTAAAAAGACTTTTCTCCGGAACTCAGGTGAGTCCTAGGTCCTAGATTTGAAGAAAACTATTTTTAGAAAGGAAGGTGAGAAATTATTTATGTCTTTGTCCTTCTCTATGAACATGGAATTTCAAGGTTTGAATCAAACTCTCAGTCTGAGTGTTGTACCTACTCATTGCTTGGTTATTGCTTATTTCCTCTATAACATTTTTCCTCCAACTGGTAGCCCAGAATTGCATGAAACTTTGAGAAAAAGGAAGCTGTACCTCCAGAGGACTGTACAATTAGAAGTGAAGCTATAGCTGAAATATTGGGTAGCAAGCCAGAATATGCCTTTCTGGTATTGTGACCTGGTGATTCTAAGAACTAAGCAAATCTAATTCTTTCCTGTAAGACTACTTCTTTTCCCTTCTTTCCCCACACCCTTCTTACTTTAAAGAAAATTACAGATTCAGCAAGCTTCAACTTTCTCCCACATTTATTATATGATGTAACCTTTGATTTCTCTTGCTCAGCCTTCATTGTTTTTTATGAGAGCTGTTACTTTTTCCTTGTATGCAGAACTGATTTGATATTTGCAAGGGGAGGGTGCTTCCTCTTTTGTCCTGTAACCATTTTGTTACTTTCATCAATACCCGTGTCAGGTTTTGTCAGCTTTATGCTGAGGTATTGAGCTGCTATTACCTCTTCTACTTTTTACTTTTCCTTCGTGCCTTTGGTTTGCTTTAACACTTAAGGGGGTAGAGAACTCTTGTCATGTGAAATCCTCCAGGAAAGTTACCAATTTCCTGCAGATACTGGTAATGGACTTTACTAACAAGTCAGTGACAGTATTGTCCAAGTAAAGTCCTATTTCTAGAAACCTCAATGATAATTAGTCTTTTGACTTAGTTTTTGTTTCATTGAATGCTACCTTGTCATCCTCCATATTATCTCATTACTAATTCCATACTTTAACTCTTCTCTAGAATATAATGGAGAAAAACCTGGTCTGCTAGTCAAGAGTTTTAGAGATCAGACCTACTTTGGATAATAATAAGTCAAGTGACATTGAACACATTGGCCTTTATTATCTTTTACGCTTATAGAAGGTTTTACGTTAATTAAAAACTAAAACTAGGCTACAAAATGTATATTATAGTTTTTAATTAAGAAAATGTGACGTTTAGTTGTTGCTTATATCCTTAGCCTTAATCTTATTTTGAGGCAACATAACTTAAACCCGGATAGTAAATGTCCTTAACCTTGTTAGAAATATGTATTTGTCTTTTCAAGAATACTTTTTCATCACAGTGAGCTTTACAATTTAAATATATATATATACTTAAAAGAGAAAAGTTGAACTCCTTGAAACCTGGACTATATGGAGATGTAAATTTTTCTTCTGTGTTAAATATGCTAAACTAGAGAATGTGCTAAATGTGCATGGTTATTTGAGCCAGCTAGCTAGCAATGGTTAGTGTTAGTAACTAGGAAGTGGTGGTTTACAAGAGGTTACCAAACAGAGTGAAAGTGTCCCTCAAACTTCTAGATGGTAGAACGTTAATGTTATATAACACAACAAAGTTCCCAAAATTTACAAGGTATATGTCTCTTAATGGGAGAATAAGAACAGTGGACTTCTGTTGATATATTTTAATATATCAGAGACTGTACTGAACTAATATTTCATGTACAGCTTCACTTTGTCATCCTAATTTATTTCTACATGTATAAATACATCTCACAGATAATGTGAGAATCCTTACAAATAATGGCAGTTTCAGTGTATACAGGGTTGGTAGTGGCACGTATCAGTTTGGGCCACATGTCAATATAGTGCTGTCTAAATGTATCAAAAAGGATTTATAGATTTTTATTACTTTAAATTATTACATCCATTTCTTCACCAAATGTTTATTGATCACATGCTATGTGCCAGTCATTGTTCTAGGTGCTATCAAAGACAGCAGTGAACAAACAGTACATCTCTGTTCTCATGAAGATCACATTTGAGTGAAGAGAGACATACTATGAAAAAATAAAATATGTCAGGTGAGGATAAGTGCTCAGAGGTTAATTAAACAGGGGAAAGGGTAGAGAAAGATGCAAAGGGAAGGGTGCTATAACTCATGTAAGGTGGTTGGGAAACACAGTAGGCAGACACCAGAAATCAGTAAAGTAGTTGAGCCAAGCCATTGATAAAAACAGTCAAAGATGTGGAAATGAGTATTTTGGAATTTGAAAGTATCTACTGGTTCCCTAAGTAGAGTATGGAGGAGGAAAGTGCCTGGAGACTCAGTATTAATAGACTCTTCTTTAATGCTTTGTTATGTGATGGGGACAGCAGTAAAAACCTTGTATAACGTAGTCATTCTGTGGCCATTATACAGCGTTACTGTCGACTGGTTTAAGAATAGGGATGGTCAGGGAGTGGCTTTTGTATTTTAATCTAAGACAAGTGTTCCAAAGTTTCTGGTTTTGGTGATGGCTAGCAAGGGCTTTGAAGGGATATTTTACCTGGTAGATTTTTGTTTTTAAAGACATCCATTTGTTTAATAATAATAAAAAAAATCATTTCTTGGGGGGGCCGCTACTAGCCACAAATGAAATAATAATTATTTTTTAGAAGAAACTTAAGCTGTGGAGAGAAATTTGAAGAAGCTTTCTTAACTTTTTTCATGTAAACAATGTAGGTTTTTCTTCTTTAAAAACTATATACTTTAAATTCCTAGACTTTCCTCACTTTTTTTCAGAAGTCTCAATCTCAGTAGCTGCTGGGCTTCCCAGTTAAATATAAAACTAGCCTGGGCATGGAGGCCATACCTTTAACATTGGCGTCAGGGAGTCAGAGACAGGGGGATGGGTGTCTATGAGTTCAAGGCAGTCCTGGTCTACAAGGCAAGGTTCAGGCCAGCCAGAGTTTTTTATAATGAAATTCTGTTGCAAAAAATAAAAAACCATACCTTCTTTCTAGAGCATAGTAACTAGGTAGATCCAGGGATCAAATATACTCGATAAATCTCATCAACAGCTTACCTCATTGATAGATGGAAATGAAAAAAAAATTTTAAGCACAGCTATAAAAGGACTTAGTTTTGTTAATCTGTACATTTAAAGTTCTCTTCAAATGTGGTATCCAATCACATGTCCAAAAATTTAAGCCTGGGTGGACAGGGTAAGTGCTGCTGTATAGGCAGCCCTTGCAGGGTCTGCCTCAGCGCTGGGATTAAAGGCATGTACCTCCCTACGTGACCAGAATCACTTATTGAAAGATGTTAATGGTCTTTCAGTGAAGCACATTTAAGGACATTGTTCTCACTCTTAGTAAAAAAAAAGAAAAAAAAACTTAATTCTACTTAAATAATTTAATATTTATGACATCCTAAGAACTTTTTATAAATAACATTTAAAATGTGTGTGTGTGTCCATGTCCATGTGAAATTTTCTAATGTGTTTGCATGTATTCGTGTACAAAGATGTGCATGCCTGGTACCTGTGGATGCTAGAAGAGGGTATCCTTGGGACTGGAGTTGGAGGTGGTTTTGAACTGCTATGTGGGTGCATTGAATCCAGGTCCTTTGGAAGAGCAGCTGGTGCTCTTACCTGAGCCATTTCTCCAAACCCCAGTTTTCTCATTTATAAGGGACATAAGCAGAACAAGTTTTAGGATCAGTATTCTAGGCTAAATTTACTAAGCTTTTTGAGTGAAAAATTATCTAAACCAGGAGTCTTAACAAATCAAAACACTTTAAGCTTGCAAAGGATTGTATAGTTTTAATATTTCTTTTGAATGTCAAATAAAAATAATGGTTTAGATTTTTGAAATGTCTAGACTGTTACGGATGGCCAAAGGTAAAGACCTGTTTAAGGAACTTGGGAAGACAGACGTTAAAGGCATGTCAGGAGGTGTGAGGACAGACAGAAGGAGCTCTGCTACTGGAGGATTATAGTTGTGGAGCCTGTATTTGCATTTTAATTTTTATATGTTTATGAATACTTATAAAATTGGATCTTGATATTTTATTAGGGTGAAAACCATGGATCATGTATTTTTTTAAAGATTTCATTCTCAAAAGCAGCTTATTTCACAGCAAAATTGAGAGTTACAAAGTTTTCTCATGTATTCCTGTCCCCACATGCATAGCTTCTTCAATGTTAACACCCCCACATACCAGATTGCTGCATTGGTTAGAACTGCTGCATCATATAATCATCGTAACTCCAAGTGTAAAGATGGTATACAGGCTTGTCTCAATGTTGGTACATTTTATATCCATGTGGTTTGGGTTTTTCTCATTTTAGTTAATTCTGTTTAAATTGGCAAAATTTTTTAGATTGGAGAGGGGCACAAAATCTATTGAGTTGGTATAGGAAACTTAAAAAACAGTATTTCATTTCAAAACCAATCTGTACTTAGTTTACTTATTTATATATTTTGATTTTTGTTGTTGTTGAGTCATGTGCCCAGGTTGGCTTTGTACCTACTATATGGCATGAATAACCTTGAATTATTTAACTGATCCTCCTATCTCCATCTCTCCAGTGCTAAGTTTATAGGCATAAGCCACCAGACCTGCTTTCATACGGTGCTGGGATCAAATCCAGGGTTTTGTTTCTACTAAGCAAACTAACTGAGCTACATAGGGCTTGTTTTAGTGAGTTTCAGAGTGAATGAGGTCTTCTGGGTCAGTGTGTGTCCTTAAAATCTTGCTAGTAGTTAAGAGCAAGACATGGTAGTACATGCCTGTAACCCCAGCAGGGTTAAGAGGATTGTCTGTTTGATGCCAGCCCGAGTGACCAGGAAAGCCTCATCTACCCCCAGGAGAGCTAAGGTTAGCAAAAATAAGTATACTTTCCATAGTACTGCCCACATTGAGTTTATTGGCTACTGATTTCTCATGTTATTTTATGTCGTGCCCCTCTCCCGTTTCTGATCTTGTATTTATCTGTGAGGTCATTTGTGTAGAGCCAGTGAGTAGGCTAGGTATAGCAGCTAAAGTGTTCCTTATTTCTCTCTGAAGTGGGTATACACTTCATGTAGTACTGTTAAAAGGGGAGAGTGTCCATCCTAGTCCTTGAGCTGGACTGCATGTGGAGTTCCTTTGGAATTTCTTTTTTGTCTGAGTATAGTTTTTCTTATTACTGTTGTCGGCTATTTTGAGGTGGTGCTAACCCACATAGGCCCTCTCATCTTGTTTAAGTATCCTTCTCAGTGTGACAGCATCATGTACTTCACATGAGGCCTCTGCAATATAGACTAGAAAAACTTGATAATGTAAATTTTACAGACAAGCACAGATGAGTGGACCGTGAGTCTAGAGTGACCTGAAGTGCTACGAGGTTGTTGCTTCTGGCAGCATTGACACTGGGACCACCAGGGTTTTAATGCTGGGAAAGTCTAAAGTGGAAGTGCTGACTGTGAGCAGGGGTCACACTCCAGCTATGTGGTCCCATTGAGAATCTACTCTGCTTAAGTCTCAGTTCTTCTATCTCCTACTATGAGCCTAAGACCAGTACTTACCTGATACCTGATGTTTACCTGATGTATGAAATAATGGACTATGTGGATGTGTTAGCATGAAATCTGGCACATAATAAGTTATTAGTAAATTCTAGTTTCTATTACTCCATGTAGTCTTTATCTACCCATCCTCATTTTCCAGTCTAAGGGAAATTACCTTGAAGTTTTAATTAAAAATAATTGTAGAATGCTAACTTTGAAGCATGTTTATGTATAATAGAGGATGTTTACTGACTTGCAGGAAAACAACAGTAACTTTGCTAGGATTACTTTTGCTCTGATGAAGCACCATACCCAAAGCAGCTTTGAAGACAAGGTTTATTTGGCTTATATTTTCTTCTTCTTCTTCTTCTTCTTCTTCTTCTTCTTCTTCTTCTTCTTCTTCTTCTTCTTCTTCTTCTTCTTCTTCTTCTTCTTCTTTTCTTTTCTTTTTTTTTATTTCAGTTAGAAACAAGCTTGTTTCACATGTCAATCCCAGCTCCCTCTCCCTCCCTTCCTCCCCTGCCCTCCCCACCAGGTTCTCCAGTCCCCCACCCAATCTCTTATCACTGATCATCATCAAAGGAAGTCAGGGCAGGAATCTGGAGGCAGGAGCTGATGCAGAGGCCATGCTGCTTACTAGTTTGTTCTTCTTGGCTTGCTCAACCTACTTTCTTACAAAACTCTGGACCACCAGCTTAGGGGTTGCCCCACCCACAATAGACTGAGCCCTCCTACATCAATCACTAATTAAGAAAATGCCCCACAGGCCTGCCTACAACAGGATCTTATAGAAGCATTTTCTCAGTTGATGCTTCTTCCTCTCTGATGACTAGCTTGTGTCAAGTTGACATAAAACTAGCCAGGACAAACAGTCTACAGTGTGGTAAATGTGTGTTTGCACAACAATTATATAAGAAAATATGTTGTTAGAGACTTAGGCCCAACTATTTGTTCTTCCCTGATGACAGAAACATTATTTTGGTTGGCAGTTCTGTTCTAACAACTGCAAGGAATAAGCTGTTAGTGATATATTCAGGATTGGTTGCTTGGGAGAAATTAAAGACATTTTCAGGACAAATATTTTTGTTTCCATGACATCATTTTAGTCTGTAGGAAATGAGTTTTGTTGGTACAGTGTCTCCATCAAAAACTGAAGAGTGTGTAAGAGTTATATATATATTCTTTGTATTGGACTTAAATATTTTGTGGGAATTAAATTTGATAATCAAGATAAAGTTATTCTTTGTTTTCAGATTTCAACTATTGCAGAAAGTGAAGATTCACAGGAGTCTGTGGATAGTGTAACCGATTCTCAGAAACGAAGGGAAATTCTTTCAAGGAGGCCTTCCTACAGGTATGTGATTTAGTAGCCTGAGACATGCAGAAAGGCTAAGTACTCGACAGATAGTAAGTATCAGAACACCTAGAAAGATGCTAAAGCAAGTATCTTATAGATGATTTTTTTCTCTTGAGTTATTTCTCAAATAAGTTAATGTTTACTGTGCAGAATAAGACTACTCTTTACTGTAAACCATGGATCATGACCCCCATATGACCATCAGAAAATGATATTTACATATTTACATGATTCATAACAGTAGCAAAATTACAGTCTTGAAGTAGCAACGAAAAAAATTTATGATTGTGGTCACCACAACATGAGGGATTGTATTAAAGGTCACAGCATTAGGAAGGGTGAGAATCATTGCTCTAAACAGTTTGAGAAAACATTTTCCCCCTCATTCTGTTGTTGTATCTGTTGACTGCTGCTTTTCCTTTAAAAAGTTTGCGATACATTTGAATTATAGCATTGTTTTGGGAATACACTAGTAATCTGCTTAGCTGTACATCTACAAATGTTTTTATGTCCTGGTACTTAGCAAACACCTGTATTTAATAGTTTTCAAGGTAGTGTTTGTTCACATCCTCTAGTTTGGGTTCAATCTTGTCTATGCCTTGCCTTCTCAAAGGAAGGTCAAAAAGAGTATGTACATCAGTTGACTCTATGTTGAATATATCCAGAAACAACATGCCTACTAATCTCTTAAGCTTACTATAGAATTCAGAATTTTCAGGTTACCTCCCCCCCTTAATTTAAATTGTGCCTATTTATCTAAGTTCCTATTGTTTATCATTTATTTTTTGTGGCAGCCAGTGCTGTTAACCACTGAGCCTTCTGTATGGCCTTGCTCCTTTTTCTTTTTTAACAGTAATTGATGCCTCACCTTCTGCCATGTACTTACTTATAGTTGCTACTAAGTTCTTTTTTCGCAAATTATGATTTATAAATCTTATTAGGCGATTGATTTTAAGTATTAAGACTTTTTATGTTGTGCGATATATATTAAAGGCAGTGTATGTAATCTATTTGTTATTTTTATCTCTTGTGTATGAGTGTCTGAATGTATTTCTTTGCACCATGTGCATGAAGTACCTACAGGGACTAAAAAAAAGATGTCAGATCATCTGTTACAAGCTGGAGTTACAAACATTGTGAATTGCCATTGGTGCTGGGAGTTGAAGCTAGTAACTGCTGAGCCATCTCTCCAGCCCTTCTCTTTTGTTTTAAAATATAGCAAATGATAGATTTTGAGACATTGAAATATATATCATGTTACTATATAATAGCTTTGATCCTGAAGCAAATCTACCAAAGTTTTACAAACAAGTCACATGACTTCTGTAAACTATGCAAATCATAGCCACCAAGTCATCCAGATGGCTCTATCAGATAAACATGCTTGCTCAAGCCTGATAAGTTCCATCTATGTAAGGCTAGAAAGAAGGAAAGAACCAGCTCCACAAGTTGTCCTCCACACACATGCCTCCTACCACATACACACTCAAAACAAGAAAAAGAAAAGGAAGAGAGAGAGAGAGAGAGAGAGAGAGAGAGAGAGAGAGAGAGAGAGAGAGAGAGAGAGAGAGAGAGAGAACGAGAACCCACTAAGACACCAACTTTATATTGAAGACAAATTTGCCTTAGTTTTTTTTTCTGGCCATAATTCTACCACATGATATTTAAATAATAATCTAATAAAGCTCTAGAGACAAATCATGTAAAGAAAGGGTTATAAAGGATGTTACCTTGCCTTATGAGACTGTCACACTAGGGTAATATTAATATGAAGTTTATGAATTCCTGAAATGTAACCTTTATATCTAGATTATAGAAAACTGTTTAACAGAAGCTTGTATAAAATGCTTGCAAGGTTGGGAAAATAACATTGGTTGATAATATAAATAGACTTTTATTGACATAACCTATCCTTATAAAGGAGTTGATTTGTATGTAGCAGGAAGGTGCTCCATTTGGGCTCATTTGACTTGATATTTCTACCAGTAATTGATCTGGTAGAAAACATAAGCCATACATATTGAATTTATAAATGACAGAACCAGAGGGTTAATGGGTGTCCTGGTGCTAGGAGAATGAGTACTCTAAAGACCATAGCAGGCAAAGAAAGTGGGTTAAAACAAATAGGGTGATACTATAGTGGTAGTAATTGGAAAGTCTTCAAAACCGATTATAAAGTAAACCAGTTATTCAAATATTTGATTCTGGATTAAGAATTTATTTCAAGAAAGTTAGTTATTTTCTTCAACAGTATGGTCTAGAGTAACCAGAAATAGAATGTCAACAATGCCTTAGTCTGTGTATTTGGATTCTCATACAAAAGGAAGCTGGATTAAATTGTGAGGCCAAATTGATAATTTTGAACCTTAACTATAATCCTCAATAAGGAATATATCTTCATGTTACAGTTTTGTATAATTATCTATAAATATGTATGTTTATGTTTAGAGCCATGGAATGCAGGACGTGTAACTAACCCCAGCATTGGGGAAACTGAAACAGGAAGATTGTAACTTTACCAACCTGAAATTAATAATAAGACACTTTTTCTTTTGGGGGGGCGGTTGAGACAGCGTTTCTCTATATAACAGTCCTGACTGTCCTGGAACTCTCTTTGTAGACTAGGGTGGCCTCGAACTCATAGAGATCCATCCACCTGTCTTTGACTCCCTAGCCCTGAGATTAAAGGCATGTGCCACCACACCCAGCAAGACAATGTCTCAAAATCCAAATTAAGCTGGATTATTAAAGTCACGCCCCTTTGGTCCCAGTACTCAGGAGGTAGAGGCAGGTAAAATCTCTTTGAGTTCCTGGACAGCCAGGACTACACAAAGGAATCCTGTCTTGGGTGTGTGTGTACACACAGAATTAATATATATGACATGTAAAAACTGGATAGAGATGGCTCACAGGTTAAGAGCACTAACTGCTCTTTCAAAGGATCTGGGTTCAATTCCCAGGACACACATAGGAACTCAAACCATCTAACTCTAGTCATAGGGTCTGTGGTGCCCTCTTCTGGCCTCTATAGGCACCAGGCATATGCAGACAAAACACTCAAAAGCATAACATAGCAAACAAACAAACAAAAAACCTGAATAGTGATATTTACTGTAGCCCCCACACACACACACCTATTTCTTGTATTTGAAATCCCTGCTTTGTTTGAAGTTTACTTATATAATTCATGTATTTTAAACTTTTGTGCTATATATTAGCAGTTTTCTAATGTTTATTATTTATACTTAGTGAATTTTATTTTTAATTAAAATAGCTTCTTATTTTTCTAGGAAAATTTTGAATGATTTATCTTCTGATGCACCAGGGGTGCCAAGGATTGAAGAAGAAAAGTCGGAAGAGGAGACTTCAGCCCCTGCCATCACCACTGTAACAGTGCCAACTCCGATTTACCAGACGAGCAGTGGACAGTATAGTGAGTAATAACTTTTTCTATTATGAAAAGTGAGTAGGAAAACTGTTAGATTCTCTCTAAAGAAATGATAAATGCCAAGACTTTAGCTGCTATTGTTGTTTGCCCCGTTATCAGAAATCTAAAATGAAAAGGCTTTCCTTTGTCATGTTAGGAGTACATAAGTGTGTGAGTCAGTTACATTTGCTTCAGTTTAGTACAGCTTCATGAAGCAGTCTGAAAGTTTTTGAAGGAATAAATATCTAGATTTAGTTCTCATAATGTTAAGAGAAGATGTTTTCTTGAGATAAGGCAAACATATGATGAAGACCAAAAATAGTTCCATTATTGTAACTTTTTATTTAATCCTACTTCCTAAAAATAGCATTTAAAAATCTTTGTGCTTAGTGTTTCAGGTAGGAGTGCTATTGTGTTCAGTTATTATTCTTTTCATAGAAAAGGTGATATAGTGAATTATAACAATATGCACATAACTACTAAAACTGACAGATACTGTCACTTTTCTAGTTTAAAAGAAAAAATCCTAGGTGTTCCAGGTATTGTGTTGCATGGCTTTAATCCTAGCACTCAGGAGGCAGGGGCAGGTGGATCTCTATGAATTTAAGATCAGCCTGGTCTACATAGTTAGTTACAGGACAGCCAAGACTACATAGAGAGACCCTGTCGGAGGGAAGGAGAGGAAAATACTATGTGTATTAATGTTTGCCTGCACGTATGTATGTGCACCATGGTGCCTACAGAGGTCAGAAGGTGGGCTCACAATCCCCTGGAATTAGATAGAGTTGTGGATGGTTGTGAGTCACCATGTGATGCTGGGAACTGATCAAGGCCCTTTGAAAGCACAGTAAGTGCTCCTAGCTGGTGAGCCATCTCTCCAGCCTTGCTGTGCTTTTCTGAAAGTAAAGACTTTTGACAACCATTACAGTTTCCATTTCATATCTGTACTGCATTTAATTCTATCTTACTTCTCTTTTTTTGTTTTGTTGTTGTTGTTGTTGTTTTTAGTCTTTTACCTGAATCCATTAGAAAGTACTTTTGCGTTGATAAAGGACATTTGTGAAATATGATTTTCCTCCCCCCATTCTTGCCTTCCATGTATCTCTTACATGATTCCTACACAAATTACTAGCTTTTTAATTTCAGCATAATTGGTTTGCCTACCTGCGATTTACGTTCCACCTACATTAAAAATAGATATTTAAAGCAATATTTTTAGCTTTTTCCAACACTGAAACTTTTGATATTATTTATAAGGAAGGGCTTTTGTTTTTAAAGATTCGTTATTTTTATTTACGGGTATGTGTGCACATCTGCATGAATTTATGCAAAGCCTCTGGATCAGACCCTTTGGAACTAGAGTGACAGATGGTTGCTGGGAACCAAATTCGGGTCCTCCACCAGAGGAGTAAGTGCTTATTCTTAGCCACTAAGTCATCCGTGATGTTTTTGATAACTACTTTACTATCATGATAACTCAGCTAAGTAAGCTTAGATGAATTTTTTTCCTTCTTAAATTCTTTATTGGCAGTTGTAAAAGGGTATCCTCCTCCCTGTGTATAGTTTAAGATCATTTCATATCTAGATAATTTTAGGTATTCAAGATGGTTCTTCTCTGACATTGTACAAGACTTCATTTTCCCCTAACATGAATGTTCTGAGAACTATAACACATTCCTGTCAACGGTAGATTCACTTACTGCAGAGGGTCTCACTTAAACTAGAAATAATGGTTTTTAGAAGAACCATACAGAGACTAAAAGGAAGAAGTAAAATACAGGATTGCCTGCCCTTAGGTACTTTATTTTTCAAACTGCTCCAACAACTGATTATTGATAGTGTAAGTACACTAGTACTTTGAATTTTTTCCTAAGCTTTATTCATTTTATCCACTATCATCTTTGTACGTGCATGTATGCCTTTGATGAAACTGATTTAGCATTATGTTCTTGATTTTTTTTTCCCGTAAGAAACATCATAATGGATACTCACATATATAGAAAGCTACATATTTTATAACTTGTTTATTTTTAAACTTTTTTGTTTGGTTGGTTGGTTTTTTGGTTTTTTTTTGAGACAGGGTTTCTCTGTGGCTTTGGAGACTGTCCTGGAACTAGCTCTTGTAGACCAGACTGGTCTCGAACTCAGAGATCCACCTGCCTCTGCCTCCCGAGTGCTGGGATTAAAGGCATGTGCCACTACCACCCAGCTATTTTTAAACTTATAAAAAAAATTTATGTATGAGTGTTGTGTCTACATGTATGTCAACACCACATGTATGCAGTGCCTATGGAGGCCAGGAGAGGGCATTGGATATCCTGGAACTGTAGTTACAAATTGTTGTTGATTGTCATGTCGGTGCTGGCTTGACCTTCTAGAAGAGTAGTCAGTGCTCTTAACCTCTCAGCCATCTCTACAGCTCTGTATTTTTAACTTAACATGGTTATCAAAATGTAAGGGTTAGGGTTTATAATATCTATAAACTGTAAACCTCTCTCATCCTTTCCCAGTAGAAAGAATTGTATACATCCCTCCTTTTTCATTCTAATTTTTACATAAACTGCCCTATATGTGTACAGAATCTCAGATAATACAACTTAATTGAATTTAGATTATATTAAATTGTAATGTATCTCTTTAGTTTGTATTTCTTGTTAGTCATAAAGTAGACCTAGAGTTATAAGTTATGATTGTCTTTTTATTCCTGTTTTAATGAATTTGGTTTCGTTGGAACTATCTTACACTTTTAAAATAATCAAGTGTACAAATAAAACATAACAGTTAAAAAACATATATAAGTTTTAGATGAAACATTTTCAAAGAATTATATATATATGTGTGTGTGTGACCTTATTTAATGTTTACAACAACTACACATCTCTATGATCAGATGTTTTTAGATTTCCAAGAAAAGTAACAGAATCAAATGATTGCTTATCAAACAAGTGCCTGTATCTTTTCATATGTAGTTTTTTCATTTCACTTTGAGCTCACTTGAATTTGTAAGTTAACGCTATATGAGGAATGAAGATTTGATTCTGTTAACCTTATGATTCTTTCAAGTGTATGGATGTTTCACCTGTGTACCAGATGTGTATGTGCCTGCAGAGGCCAAAAGAGGATGTCCAGTCCCCTAGAACTGGTTGTAAATGGCTGAGAGCCTCCTTGTGGGTGCTAGGAATAGAACCCAGGTTCTCTGAAAGAACAGCCAGTGCTCTTAACTGCTGGGTCATCCCTTCTGCCCCTTCTAGGAGATCTTACAAAATTAATTGTAGAATAATTCTTAGGCATTCTTTTCACATCAAAGATAGTAAAACTTGGGATTGGCTAAGCTAGTGTGTTAATTTCCACAAGTTTTCATCTTGATAAAGTGATCAAATAATAACCATTCTTGATTGAGCAGTGAATGATCAGTTTTCTGTGTACACGTCACTCAGGATGATATAGTTCCCCAGAGCTTACTGGTAGTGGATCCCAAACTAACTCCCTCTCTGATCAATGGTACCATATTTAAGTCAAATACGTGGTTATCACATTTTTGAACCTTTCTTCTGTTGCAATTATAATCTATTATGGAGAGCTGGAACATAACTCAGTTGATAGAGTGCATTCTTACCATGTGTGAGGTCCTGGATATACACATGTGCAAGCACATGAGTACACGTGTGCACACACACACATACACACACAATATGAAGTTTGTTCAGGTAATCTTTTTTGGAAAACTTGGTCCTTAGTAAGATTTGTAAGAGAAGGATCAACCTTTTTTTTTTTCAGCTGTGCTGTCTAAAGGATTATGGCTTACCAATAAGATTATAACTTAGCTTTCCATTAGTTTTGTGTGTGTGTGTGTGTGTGTGTGTGTGTGTGTGTGTGTGTGTGTGTGTGTGTGTGTACCATTGTATAAAGGTGGTTTAGGTTAAGAATGAAGTGTCTATTAGGTATATATTCGTTAGTTTCCATTTGCCAGATAATGGCAAATGTGCTTATTCATCAATCAATGAAAGACCTTATATGAGGACTCAGAGATGGCGCTTAGAGTGTAGTGAGATATTTTATCTAAATGATGGTCTTGGCCTTTAATTTTAAACTTCATGAGACACTCATAATGACTAAAGTCCAGACTATTTCGATCCTCTCATTGGTGAAATTCTTGGTGGGGATGATGGGTAGCATGTGGAAGAGACTGAAGTCAAGGCCTTAAACGTTTATGGCGATCTGTGTATTGCTGGGTTCTTATTTTTCTTTTTTTTTAATTATTTATTTAGTTTATTTTGAGATGGGATCTTACTATTTTTCCCAAGCTGGTCTCAAAACTCCTAGGCTCAAGTGAATTTTCTGCCTTAGCCCCTTGAGAAATATCATGTCATTCCCATGACTGTTTGAGTGCACTACCGACAGATTTTATAACTCGCTCTAAGAGTTAGAAAGTATAATTCACTGACAAATGGCTTTATTAATTATATTTAACAAGCATTTATTGAGTGCTCTTACATTAGTTAGTTTCTACCTACAAGAAATGCATTTATGATTAAGGCAACAGATATAAATAACAGATGAGGCAGTTAATGGTCCTGTAAAATATCATTGTGAAAGGAGGGCCTCCTCAGAGTTTAAATAAGATCAAAAAGAATTTGAGTTTTTTCACTTAATTCTTATATTATTACCACACATTATTTATTGTATTACAGTTCCTAGAGTTCACTTCTCATGAAAATTGAATATGTTTTCCTGAGTACACATTTACTTGAATATACTGAGTTTTTCTTAGAGATGTTACTGTTTATAATAATTTCTCCTACATTATGCTTTGCTAATTGCATGGGTTTAGTGTGTTTTAAAAGTCGTACTTGGTATTAATTAAACTTGTAACAATAAAATTCATTGGGTTTTAGTTGCCATTACCCAGGGAGGAGCTATACAGCTGGCTAACAATGGTACCGATGGGGTACAGGGCCTTCAGACATTAACCATGACCAATGCAGCTGCCACTCAGCCGGGCACCACTATTCTACAGTATGCACAGACCACTGATGGACAGCAGATTCTAGTGCCCAGCAACCAAGTTGTTGTTCAAGGTAATGGAATTAAGAATTCATATATATGGTACATTCTTTTAAAAATCAATGTGTACACAGGAAAAGTAAGTATATTGCACTATTAAAGTAGTTTCTTCAGTGTAGATTTAGATATTAAAGATTTGGCTATGTATGCATTTACTACATAAATAAATATTTCTCATGAAATTCTATTTTTTTCCACTTAGACAAAAATGTCATGGCATAAAAACAACTATCTTTTAACTTTAAAAGGGTAATACCTATCTTTAATACCTTCAGTTGTCAGGGATAGAAGAAACATGATAAATCAGAAGAAAAACTAAGGAGATCACAACTAGGCTGTATGACTCAAGTTAACACCCACCTACTATGGGCCTCTTTTTCTCCCCATACCTCATGTGTGCCAACTCTTTTTTAAAGAATTTTTAGTGGATCTTGTTCTCTGTGGGGTTTTGGTATTTCTGTGTTTTGTTTTTTAGGTTTTTTTATTTATTTAAAAAGAACTTAGATTTTTTTTCTAAAGTTATCAATTTTGATTTCAGATAAAAACATTCCAAAGAACATATGTCATTATGTAAGTCTTGTGCTCTTTGGAGAACAAATTGTTCTCAAGGAACTAGAGGAGTCTGGAGAGTGTTAACTATTCTCCATTAATTCATTTGAACAGTTCATAGTTTATACCAGGTTAAAAATTTATAGGCTGAGAATAATATTTGTTTCTAAAACATTTTTGTTAATAATAACAAAAATTGCCTGTGTTAATGAGTTATATCCCTTCACCATGGATAATTACTTTTTAATGGTACCAAAACACTAAGTAGAAAGCCTTTTATTTACTCAATCCCTAGTATATTTATACAATATCCTGTTATTAAACCAATGATATTTGAAGAAATATTTTGCTTATTAATGGGAGTAAAACACCTTTTCACTTTACATGCAGGTACTCAAAAAATTGTAAAGCAGGATGTCAGTGAATTTGAATTCTCAACGTCAGTTTGAAGATGGTAACATGTTTAGTATATAAATATTTGTCACTCAAACAATACAATTGATATTTTAACTGATGAATGATTTTATAACGACCTTCAAAATCACTCAACATAGTGTTAGGTTACTTATTAGGACAGTGTATCATTAAGCTGTTTTTAGAAGCAATTAATTGACAAATTGTGGTTATGTTTCTTTTCACATATGGTAGATTGTATGTTTAGAAAAAACCCAAAGCCATGCAAGGTGGTGGACACCTTAATCCCAGCCCTTGGGAGGCAAGGCAGAGGCAGGTGGATTTCTGAGTTCTAGGCCAGCTTGACCTACATAGTGAGTTCCAGGACAGCATAGTGAGACCCTGTCCCAAAAAAAACAAAAAGAAAAAAAAATCCAGCTTGAGTTTATTTATTATCACTTACATTAAACTAGTATGTTTAAATATACCATGATTGGCACCCAGTAGTCCACTTTTTCATACTTTGAGTTTTGTTTGAATTAGAAATTCGTAATAGTTGACCATATGCTTATTTTCTCTTCCATTTTGCTATTTATGAAAAATCATGGTCGTTTTTATGTCGTGGCAAGAGTCTGCTTGAAATTTTTTAATATGAATTTATCCAAATCAAAGGAGGACACTGAGGACTTTATCTAGGAAGATCATCTATGGTGGGCCTCACTTTCCTTTTAGACTTAAGGTTGGTAAGCATGTTAACCAGCATAGTTCTCCATCCCAATGCAACATAAATGTAAGACCCAGCAGAGACACTAAGACATCCTTACCTGTACTTGCACTAATAGTACAGTAAATTGGCATCTTCTTTTTAGCCAGAATCATCTGTTCCATTTCCCTTCTAATCCAAGTATGTTTAGATTGATTGACACATAATTGGATTAAATTATAGTGTTTCTGTATCTTATACCTTGTTCGCTCTTTTTTGCAGCTGCCTCTGGCGATGTACAAACATACCAGATTCGCACAGCACCCACTAGCACCATCGCCCCTGGAGTTGTTATGGCATCCTCCCCAGCACTTCCTACACAGCCTGCTGAAGAAGCAGCCCGGAAGAGAGAGGTTCGTCTAATGAAGAACAGGTATAGATATTCCAGATACTTAAATGCTGTGGGTCAAGTACATCTATACATTCTTCCATGCGGGCCTTTGCATCTCCTGGCAGTAGATTCTGTGCACTGATTTTTTTCCTAGTAGAATTAACAGATCTTGGCTTCTTTATTAAGCTGCATTATTGGCACTTTAGGTCCATCTTCAATCATAAAGTATTTTTTTCATAGTTTTTCCACAAAATATTTAATATATAGCTTTAATAAATTTGTACTTTATCCCAACCAACTGGGTAGGTTAATGAACATTTTTTTCATAAATAATATTCATCAGTGTCATGTATGTACTAACATTAGATTCTAGTTTTCTTTCACTAAATTTATTTGTAATAAATGTATAGTAGCCATTTTTTGTTTTAATGAATGCTTTTGCATTTTATTCACTTTAAAGATTTATTTATATATATTTTATGCATATGTGTGAATGCCTACGTGTAAGTATGAGCACCACATGCATACGTGGTGCCCACACAGGCCAAAAGAAGGCATTGGATCTCTTGGAATTAGAGTGACATATAGTTGTCAGCTACCTGATGTGGGTGCTTTGAACTGAACCCAGGTCCTCTGCAAGAGTAGTTAAGTGCTCCTAGCTGCTAAGCTCTTTCTCCAGCCCCTTGTTTTGTATTCTTACGTCTTTTTGCTATGTGGGCCAGAGTGGCCTGGAACTCTTGCTCCTGCTGCCTCGGTCTGCTGATTTTACCGTCCCGTGCTACCATGCCAGGCTTTGGGAAGCATTCATTTTCTTTACTCAAAATAATAATTTAACATCCAAACATTCTTTTAAAATAGATTAATTCTAAAAAATTATGGTATTCCTGACAAAGCCTTAATGTGCAGTTCTTTTTAGTCTTCAGTAATTAAAGTGCTAATAGGAGAATCTATAAAACATACATAAGACTTTCTTAGAAACTTATTAGCTTTCAGTGGTTTCGACATCTAACAACAAAAGGAAGTTATTAATGTGAAAATGATTAAGAAAAAAACAAAGCGAATGATCCAGGGAAATGGATCATTTGTTAGAGCACTGGAGTCAGATCCCCAGAACCCACATGAAATGATTGGTAGGCCCTGCCCGGAATCCCAGTCTGATGGTGGAGATATGGGGTTCCTGGACAGGCCGATTAGGTGAACTGCCTGTTTCTGTAAGCTCTGGTTTTTATGAAACCCTACCACCAAAAGGGTAAGCTGAAAGTAGCATCAAGGAAGATAGCCTTCACTTACAAAAAATGTGAAAATAATGTGGTGGGGTGGGGTGGGTGGAGTGAAAACCAAGGGTGTACACAGATAGAAACTATTTGAAATGGTGAAGTTCTTGTACTTATCCCAAGAGCTCATATTCTATAATAAATTAATTGAAACAAATTGAACTTAGAAGATCTCACTTCAAGTCACCTTTCAGCTATGATTCTGAAAAAACTCATGACTTGAGTAAAATAAGGGCACTCCTTGTACTCGGGGTCAGGTAAGATTAGTCCCGAGAGCATGCAGTAACTGTGGCGCTCCAAGAAATGCTGCTCCTCTTTGAGCAGTTCTGTGTTTCAGAGGACAGCCTCTTTGTTGCTAAAATAGTTTTAACTATCACAGTCTAGTAAATCATACCTAGCCCTGAGAAAGGGGAGAGCCATTCTGAGACATTAGGGGAAAGTTAGGAAGATGCCTAGTGCACCAAACAGCTATAGGTAGTTAAAGCATAACAGAAATGTAAATGCCTAACTTTTATTTAAGTATATTTGAAAATATGAATTAAATTACAGATTAATGTGCTGAGTTTTAAAAGTATTTGTTAAGAAATGGTTGACCTTCTCTAAAATAAGAAAGTATTGTGTTTAAGAAGTCTCAAGTAGACCTAATTATAAAATCTAGGGCTGCAGCACTTACTAAAGAAAACAACTCTAAGTAGACACAGTAGTCAGAATTAGAAAGGACTTTAGATTATGTCCACTTCGTTAGGCTCTGTTGAGCGGAGCTCCATCGCCTGCACAGACAGATGAAGAGGCTGTGGGACCATGTGCAGGAGGAGGCAGCACTGCAGCTTCTTTCCTCCCTGCCTTCCTTACGGTACTGGGGCTCGACCTTTGAGCCATTTTCTGTTAGACAGGCACTCTACCACTGATCTGTGGGTTGTGTTTATAGCAGTAGTGTAACACCATGTGGTTATGTTAAGCAAACAAAAGCAGTGGCAATAGCCTAAGTTGTTTTGAGAATCTTTGGGGTCTATCTGACCAGTAACTTGTAGGGAAGTATTGTTATGATAAAGAGTGTGGGGGACCTTGGTACATTCCATGGCAGGGGAGGTTGACCTAGGGAAGGGACAAACATACCAGGCAGACAGAGCTTAAGTGAGAAGTTTTATTAGAAAGGGAGATGGGGAGGAAAGAGATACAGAGACAGAGAGGACAGAAGAGAAGAGGAAGACAGGAAAAGTCCTTTCTGCCCCAGGGGAACAGCAGGAGAGAGATGGAGAGAGAGAGGGGGGGGAGAGGGGGGAGGGAGGGAGAGGGGAGGGTAAATGGGTGTAGGTCTTTTTTTTAAGGGTTCCTTTGCACCTGGGCTGACCAGGGTACTGCCTGAGTGCATTCTGCCAGGTGACAGGAGTAGGCGAGCATAATAAATCCTTACAGGTATCTCCCTGAGATTTTCATTTAATAAGCTATGTCTTCTGGAAGCAGCATTGTCCATCCATGCATGCTATGATATTATGCTGCCAGGTAAGATGTGCCTATCCACAAGTGTAAACACAGCAGTTACACTGCTTTTACAGCAACAGTGAGTTTTCACTGAATTGAATTCTCCCAAAAGGGAATTCATGTCTGGTACTTTATGATGCTTTGAAAAATACCTGTGAGAATTTTAAGGGGGATAGGTGGGACTTATTTTAGTTCATGGATTCAGAGGTTTCAGTTCCCTGTTAGATCCCCTGCTTTAGGCCTGAGGTAGTGCAGAGTATTATGCCATACAAACATGAAGCTGAGACCACTGACCTCATGGCAGATGGGAGTAATAGGAAGGGGGTCATGCCCATGTTACATCTTTCAGAGGCAATACCCAGAAACACACTTCCTCCATTTATACCCAACTCTACACAATCCTACCACCTCCCAATAGTCTAGAGTTTGAGTCCATCAGTGAGTGAAAGCATTGAGTCTGAGTTCTTGTGTTCTAATCATCTCTGGATACATCCTCACAGACAGGTGAGCATGGTTAAGATGTAGCAAGTCTTCCTCTTCCTCCCCACAGAATCAGCAGCAAGGTTCAGTTGGCAGTCCCTATGTAAATAAGTAAGATGCTATCTAACAGGCTGGTGTGGCAATGCATGCCTGTAATCACTGCATTTGAAGGCTGGGGGAGGATGGGCAGGAGAGCTGGGTTAGTTGCAAAGAGAGACTCTCTCAAATAAAAGTCTTCCCATGAGAAGGATCCATTAGTAACTTTTCCTGGACATCTCTGTCAAGCCAGACAATTTGAGAGTCAAGATTAAATATGCTTCTCCTGTTATTAATTTTCTATATCAGGTTCCTTTTAATTAGTATTTACAGTGTGTCCTCACCAGTCTTTTGATCCTCACATATCTTTCTTTGTCTTTTGAGGTAGACATCTTCAAGAAAACATATCATTAAGACATTGCCTTGGGGCTGGAGAGATGGCTTAGTGCTTAAGAGCACTAACTGCTCTTCCAGAGGATCTGAGTTCAGTTCCCAGCACCCTCATGGCAGTTCACAATTGTCTGTGGCTTCAATTCCAGGGAATCTGACATCCTCACACAGACATACATGCAGGCAAAACACTAGTGCACATAAAATAAAAATAAAACCATCAAAAATAAAAACTTATTATTATTTATTTGTTTATTTATTTTTAGGCTTAGATCAGGAATTCACAAACTGTGTCCTATGGATCAAATCTCGCTCAGAGTCAGTTTCACTTATATATGTCTATGCTCATATGCCAACAAGCCCTAAAATACTTACTATCTGCTATTTTATAGAAAAAAAGTGTCTTCTGATTTTTCTATTTCTCATTTTTCTTTTTGTTTTTTGTTTTTTGTTGTTGTTGTTGTTGTTGTTGTTTTTGATGGGGGGAGGTTGAGACAGTTTTCTCTGTGTAGCCTTGGCCCTTGACTGTCCTGGAACTCACTCTGTAGATCAGACTGGCCTCAAATTCAAAAGATCCCCCTGCCTCTGCCTCCCAAGTACTGGGATTAAAGGCCTGACTTTAATTGATACTTTTTTTTTTTTTTTTGATTTTTCGAGGCAGGGCTTCTCTGTATTGTTTTGGAGGCTCTCCTGGAATTCGCTTTGTGGACCAGGATGGTCTCGCACTCACAGAGATCCGCCTGCCTCTGCCTCCCGAGTGCTGGGGTTAAAGGTGTGCGCACCAACGCCCGGCTTAATTGACCCTTTTTAAAAGTATATTCATATTGTAGATAATTTGTGTGTATGCTTGCACACTTGCACAGGTCCTCCTTGAGTGTGTATACAAATGAATGTGGAGGCCTGAGAATAGCAAGTGGTGTCTTCCTCCCTCATTCTTCACCGTACTTTGTAGACAAGTTCTCTTATTGACCCATAGACTGTCCAGCCTTTGGCCTAACAACATAACATTGTAATGAGTATATTCATAACTACCCTGGGACATATGCAGCCTGTGGGTTATAAGTTGGACACATCTGTTTTAGAATATTTTTTAAAATTGGAAATTTTTAATGCATTCAACTTTCAACTCTCCCATGGTTTAGACTAATGTATTGTTTTTACCATAAAAGCTAATTTGAAATCTATTTTTCAGAAATGTGTGTCTATTGGCAGTGAATTCGTTCCAGTTCTGAGAAAATGTTTGATCACATTTAAGATCGTTTTGCCTCCCTCTTTTTCTGTCTTCAGTTTTACCTTTGATTTCTAGAAATGCCCATGTTATGCCTCTTCCCTTAACTCTATTCTTTTACCCCTACCACATTTATTATCATGAATTTTGCA